AAATTGTCTAAGCCAGTATTCTTAAGATTATATGTAGCCATATAAGGCAAAAATCTAACATCTAATAAAGATACGAGGCAAGATCTCACCTTAACACCAAAAAAAAAAAAAAAAACTAAACTAAACTAATCCACATGATACACAAAAAACAAGTACCAACGAACAGCACAATCATGATGTAACGATACCGATGGCTCTAATATCGATCACTCTAATGACAAAATTGGCCTAAATAAAGAGAAGTATTAATAATTATAGAAAACAAAAAGAACCAAATGATTCAAAGATAATAAACTTATACCAACTCCAGCAACGACTCCAATGATAAAATGATGTCTGGAAGAGAAACGTTAACAATTACAAAAAAAAAAAATAAAAAAAAAAGAATACAAGTGATAAATCTACCTAACTCCAATAATAAAATGATTACAAAACCATTAAAAGGAAAGAAAGCATACCGAAAAGAATAAGAAAACACCGAAGAGAACTGCCACACCAAGGTAATGAACACACCGAAGGGAATAAATGTACCGAAAGAAGCGAGAAAATACCGAAGGGAACGAACACACCAAGAGAACAAAGAGAACGAGAAAACACCAAAGAGAATAAATATACTGAAGAGAATGAACACACTGAAAGGAACGAAATGCACTAGACAATAGCACCGAATGTGACTTATAATGACAACTAAATCTAATCTAGAAGAAAGAAAAAGGTTTGTTAGTTTAGTTTAAAACAAAAAAAGAAACAAAAAAAAAGTAAATTGCGAAAAAAAGGGAAAAAACAAAAGAAAAGAAGCAAAAAAAAAGAAGCAAAAAATAGAAAAAAAGAAACTAAAAAAAAAATAAATGAAGATATGAAAAAAAAGAAGTGAAAAAAAGAAAAAAAAAAAGAAACTAAAAAAAAGAAATGAGAAAAAGAGATAAAAAAAAAAAAGGAGAAAAGAAATAAAAAAAAAAAAAGAAAAAAAAATAAAAAAAAAAAAATGAAAAAAACATGAAAAAAAGAGAAGAAAAAAAAAGAGTAAAAAAAAAAACAAAAAAGTAAAAAAAAGAGCAAAAAAAAGAAGCAAGAATAATGTGCGAAAGTAGCAGAAAAGCAAAAAGCAAAAGCAGCAAAGCAATAACACCAAAACAAAAACAGCAAAACAAATCAGTAACGCAAAGGTAGCAAAGCAAAAGCAGTAAAGCGAAAGCAGTAAAGTGAAAGCAATAAAGCAAAAGCAGCAAAGCAAAAACAACAAAGCAAAAGCAGCAAAGCAAAAGCAGCAAAGCAAAAGTGGCAAAGTAAAAGCAGTAAAAGCAGCAAAATAAAAGCAATAAAGACAGCAAAAACAATTAGTAAAAAAAAAAAAAACAATGATTATCAAAATATACGATTACTAATTTTATTAGCTGATCATAGAGGGGTGTACAACTGCGCAGGTACACAGAAAACATCCTTTCTTTACTTTTTATATTTTATATATTTAAAGGTTAGCAACTCATTGTAGTTACTATATTAAAACTATTAATAAAAATATAAGGCCTTACCTTAATACCAAAAAAAAATTTTTTTGAAATTTGATCAAAGATATCTTAACAATTAATTAATCAAATTTGATGAAAATTTTTTTATTTAAATTTTATAGAACTATAAAATTTAATAAAAAAATTTTTATCAAATTTGATCAATTGGTTGTTGAGATATCTTCAATTAAAATTTAAAAAAATTTTAAAAAATAATATGATAAAATCAAATAATCTATATGGTACAAATAATAAAAATTATGATACAAATAGAGTTTTCTTTTATTTATATAATAGTATAGTAAGTAAGTTAATCTAATAATTAAATAAAAACAAACCAAAATATCATTTTAATATTAAAAAAAAATTATTTTATAATACTATAAAATCAAAATAAAAATAATTTGTTAAATTTAGTTAGTAGTTTTTAAATTATTTTTAAAGTTTATAAAATTTTTCATATTTTGATATAGTTTAAACTCTATATTGTCACACTATTAATATGGAGATATTTTTAAATTAACAAAAAAATTATTTTTTTAATATATATTTAAATTTTTTTATTATTGCTTAATAATTAAATTTTTTTTTAATATTAAAGTGATCTCATAGTTGGTAGCTTTTATTAGTTTTTGTATTAAGCTGATTATAGTTAGCCACTACTCATTTGGTATATGATTTTGGAAGATACAACTAGCCACATGTACAACTTTTAATTGTCTATTTAAGTAGTCCACCTACAGATACTACACTAGATACTATACCTATAATCCAACTAAAAATTATCTATTTAAACTCTTTGTACTGCCATATTCTTATAAGGAACCAATCCCGCTATAGAAAGTATACCTACCTAGGGCTAATTTACTCTCGAGATAAACTTTTTAGAGCTTTTCGTATCTATAATCCAGCTAATCTAGACTTTGGTAACTTGCACTAAGTCTAAGAACAAATACTTGCAAGTTAAAACCACTACTGTTATTTACTTCTGCCCTTATAGAGTTCACTCAATTTTGATATACACTTTGCAAACTATCACTAGTTAATCTCAACAATCTCAAACTACTAATTTAGATAGCTCAGAAGGGCTATAACCTGCCTCTGATCTCTACAGTTAGGTTCTTTTTCTCCAGTTACTTTTCTGATAGCCTAGTTGGTAGAGTATTTTGCCAAATACTTTGGTTCTATTTAGCTTTGCTGGTTCTCCTAATGATGATCTTTTATATAGTATTATAAAATAGATTTTTATAACATTTTAGCATAGAAATTTTAGTCTTTATTTACTTAGTATTATTTATTATAAATGTATTATTTAGTAGTTTATTATTAGTTATATTTAGTATATTATTAGCATATTATATTATATTATATTATTATATACAGTACAGTATATTAAATAGTAATCTTATAGTCGTTATATAGAAATAATTTGATTGGCTAAAAAATATATAGTATAGTCATATGATTCACGTGATCTGAAATAATACAAAGTTATACAAAGAAGTATTTTAGATTATACAAAAAGGTAATACAAGAAAGTAACACAATTTCTTCAAGTTCTTCTACACGAAATCCTCCAAATTCCTCTACACAAACTTAAATATTTTGAACACAAGTTATTATGTCACAAGCCTAGTACTATATCGCAAAATTCCCAGGTTCCCTTCCCCAAGCTTCTCCTCACAAACAATAAATAAAATATAAACAAAATGAATAATGTTTATATTCCTCCAACTTCCCTCAACACAATCTCCCAACTCCTTTAATACGATCCTCCAACTTTCTCTGCCAAGTATTACTTCTTTATTGTGTGTTATATACCTTTACTTTGGGTAAAAAAGATATATAAAAGGTACCTTTTCCCCTTCCTGCCAGATCTTAAATGCCTACACTTTAATTAGACTCTGATAACCTTTAACCTTTCTTATCTTGTAAAGTGTAATATTCTCTCTCTGGAATAATTTCTACAAGCAAGGCTTATTACCATTTTTGTATTAAATAAAGTTATTCTATATACTGTTATTATCTCAAACCATTTGCCTGCTGCTGTGTAGTTAAGTGAACAACTATACCTCTACCCATATATATTTACAATAGTCAATCACTATACCAGATGATCTTGTTACTTGGTTGTATTTTACTAAGAAGACTATAGCTTTGTAACAATAGTATTATTGAAGATCTGTATTATCTCTCTATTCAGATCTTGTCAAGTGAGTATCTTATCGCTGTATTGGCCCTATAGCTTTTTGTGATACTAGTGTATATCTTGTATAATTTCTTCATTATACAAATATTTGAGATCTCCTAGTTCTGATGAATTGGTACGATTATAGTTACAGAATCTTGAGTTTTTCTGGCCATGATAATAGTTGCTAAATCTGTTTTTCAAAATTCAATTTTTGTTTTCAGTGGGAATTAAACTTGTACTCAACTGCTTGGAGGTGCGACAACTTTACCACTTTAGAAATATTTAATTCTTTTCACTGATCTTCTGAACACAAATTTATCATAACCAAAAAATCAAAAAATATATATTTTTTGCTAAAGAAAACACAGTTTGCAATACTAAGTAAAGAGAAAAAATACACAAAATAATATCTAGTTTTTTAAAAGATAAAGGTAAAAATATTAAAGCTTTAAATGAAAAAGAAGAAAAACAGCAAAAAATTGCCAAAATTTCACCTTTATAAACAATTTTTGAGAAATTGTATTTGACTCTGTACTGCAGATCTGTTATTATTATACAAATAGAATATGTATTTAGGAGTAAATAAAACAATCTAATTACAGATTATGTGACAGATATAAATAGCAAAACGGTATCTAGAAAATTAGATATTGAAGAAAAAAAAGAAAATTCTAGAAACAAAACAAAACTGCAGAAATATTAGATAAATTGATAGAGAATTATTTAGAAAAACTGAAAGCTTATAATAACTGAATAGTCGATTTTAGAAAAAAAAGAGAAGAGCAACAAGTACTTCAAAAAAGAAATATAGAAGAAAGTTTAATCTAACAATTTGGACAAGAAAATTTACTGTTTCTAACACAAAATAATAAAAAAGAAGATAAGGAGAATTTAGAAATCTCAGCAAATATAGAGGTATTTGAATACAAATAAAGATTATATAGAGAAATTAGAACAAGACAAAGTATAGTTTCAAACTCATAGACAAAAAAGTTTAAAGCAGAGATCGCAATAAAGAAAGAAAAGAATAAAAGATTTTTTTCAACAAATCAAAGAAGTTTATATATATATTGTAAAGCTAAACAGAAAAAAAAGAAAAATATCAAAGTGATGATCTCTAAAGAAGAAGAGAAAAGAAAAAATGACAAGAATAAAGTGAAGAATCCTATAAATAAAAAAGAAGCTTTATCTAATGATTACTTAGAAAAATATTTAAAGGAATTATACTAATATAAGAAATGAATAGCAGGTCTTAGAATAAAAGAGTGAAACAAGAGAAACTCTAAAGAAAAAAAAAGAGAACTTTGAGTATCTTTTTAAAAAATTAACATTAAGTTACTTTCAACTGCAAGACAAATTAGAGAAGTGAACTATAGATAGTGAAGAAAGAAAACTAACCAAACTAAAGACAATTTGAAGATATTATGAAAAAAAACTTCTAGAAAAGATTTTAATAGAATTATAATTCAAGCAAGAAAAAGTAAGAAGACTAGGATAAACTGAAAAAGTAAAAAGAAAAAATTAAAGAAAAAAACTCTAGTACAAAATAGAAAACTAATAACAACTAACAAAGAAGATAAAAAAAAGAAGAGAGAAGTATAAAAAAATTAAAAGTTAAGTTATCTGCAGAAAAATATAAAGTAAATTAGAAAAAAAAAAGAAAAAATATTAGTTTAAAAATAAATAGCATATTGTTTTTACAAAAAAAAGATATTTTAGATAGCCAAATAAAATTAGGATTAAATAGAATAAAATTAATGAATAGCATAGCAAAAGAGTATTTAGATAAATTTGATTCATCAAAACTAAACCGAAACCTCTTTGAGGTCTTCAAGACTTCTGAGACAACTTGATAAAACCTTTTAAACAAAGACTACAAAACTCTACCTAGTATAGCAAACTGCTTTTGAGTATCTATAGAGATAGCTAAGAGATGTTAGATCTAAATATTAAGCT